CGAAAAAAATAAAAATAAAAACAGGCCTAGGCATCCTATTATGGCCCAAAATGGTACGATAGGAGCCATGAAGTCAACACACCAGGCTGGTTCAAAATTTAAACAATGAATTTTGAACTTTTAATGATATCATTGCATTGAAAGATGGAATAACTGTAACAACTAGGATGAAAAGGAGTCTGTTTTCAACTGTTCAGGGCAAAATATGAGCATTTTGCAGTTGATTCTGAATTTTATTTTTATTTGCAAATCAGAAAAAAATGAAGCGGGTGAATCCGTTAACCAAGAAATTAAATTGGTGTGGCCTTTAATAGCTATAGTCAAAAACAGAACAAAAACAGTTTTGCATTGCTAAATTCAGAATACATGTACACGTACCTGCTACTTAAGGAGCAATATTTTACATAATATTGTATAATATTGGCAGAACTACAACTTGTTATACAATACATAGGCACAGTACATGTATCTTCACATTTTCTCCACTAGAAAACATATACATATAATATGTTGCAGGTGGGGATGCTTCTATTTTCCCCAAAGGGGGCAAGTCTGAAGAAACAATTGACCATGGTTTTGTGGTACAGCCTGAGACAGCTCCTCAGACTTCAGGGGACACCTCACAGCTAGGAACACAGAAGAGAAAAGCAGAGTACATCAGCGATGAAGATGAACAAAAGGCTTCGAAGAAGCCATTGACTGACAAGGAATACGTTGGTTATGAGGAATACCAACAGATGTCTCAGGATGCTTGTTTGCAGGGAAAAGAGTCCAACAGAACAAGCAACATCCATGATAAAAAGTTGGATGAAGAAATTAAGAATGAAAGTATTCAAAAGGAAATAAACAAAGAAGATGCAGTAGTTGTATGTGAAAAGAAAGAGAAAACTTCTGAGCCAGACATTCACAGAACAGGTGCAAAGTGTGTACCAGGGGGGCTGCAGGACCCCCTGCAGAGCGGACTGGACTACCACAAAGTGGGGGTGCTCAGGACGAAGCCAGGGAGGGGAGAACGCACCCTGTCCATGTCCTGTAGTGACAAGTTGGCCAGATGGAACGTTCTGGGCTGTCAAGGGGCACTGCTAAGCCACTTCATGACAGAACCCTTGTATTTCTCTACTATTGCTGTAGGAAGGTAAGTCATGTAATTATATAACTCTTACCATATGTTTGAAGAATGTTTGTCTTCACTCAAATAGAGTGATGTCAAAATGCATGGATAGACCAATTTTATACCAGATTTAGTCATTTCCACGGCTGCAATTGTATTTTTCATGTAGGAATTTTTTGCATGTTCTAAAAGATATAGTTGCACTCTGTTTTTTTTAGCCTTTGAGGCAGATCGGAGGAACGGAGCGGAGACAAAGTGTTCACGGATGGATTCCAGGATAGGTTTAGCCTGAATCCCATCCTACTTCTAGTTCTACGCCAATAGTTGAACCCTACAAACATTTTTTAAAGGGATGAGAGCCTAACAAAATGGCATCAAGGCTAAGGGTTTTGTTGATTATTCTGTCATAATGATCCTTGTGGAAAAGATAGGTCAACCTCTCTTTGTGCACAGGTGCCCTTACAATGGAGATGCCATGTTCAGAGCAATGGTGAAGAGATGTGCTTGTATCCAGGACCTGCCACATGCCTATAAACTGCACCAGCCCAGATGTGTGCAGTCAAGTATACAGTTCTGCCACCACAGAGAAGCTGTGTTAAAACACAGTTCTACTCCTGACAAGATCATGCCAGCTCCTGCAGGTATGATACACTAGCTTGTGAAACCCAAGCTCCAGGGGGCCCCCTACATAGTCCGCTGGCTGAGCTAAGAATTGGGACCTGATATTGGTCGATTTCGCGCGCTGCTGCGCGCGCGCGCAAGTGGCCACGCCGTAGCGGTGCTGCGCGCGGGC